AGGGTAGCAGAAATTAAGCAACACGAATTCTGCCTCAGTGGGCTGGTCAAATCCTGCCCGCCTCCACAGGCTGCTCCATAGAGAACAAGTGTATGGCTGCCTGTAGGCCAAGACTCAGGACTCCTATATAGACACATAACAGTAAAATCAAACCTAATTCAGGCCAAACTTCTGTGTTTGCAGCACCCCGGTTGTGAAGAAGGGGAAGCTGGAAGACACGGTGCATGATGTAATTACTTCATTGGGCTGCGTTGGTGTTGCGGCTTTCCACGAAGAGGCAAGGGAAATAATTGAGTGACATTGCTAGAAGATAAAAATAGCAAGGTTTCTTCCACAGCCAAACGGTGATGTGGGTCCTGTACGTTCAGAGCTTCTCTTGTCTGTGGCCAGCCCTCTCCTGGCTCCTCGGGGAACAGGGAGCAAGCTGCCAGGAGGCATATGGCACTGGGAAAGGGCAGCAGTGAGCAAAGAGCAGCCACATCTAGTAGGTTGCCCATCAGGAGGTTGAGGAATGAAACAGAACTCCGGTCCCTGGTTGCTGGCAGGGTTGGCACGTCACTAGCCTATTTGCAGAAAGTGGTTTGAAGCTGCTAAGTGGAGGGCTCTGCATCCAGAACAAATGCACATTCAGACCCTGAAAACATCAAAGGCAGGACTCACTCAGACCTGCACTCCCTGATTTTAAGCCTAACCTTGATCACCTACACATCACGCTGCCCTTGTGACATCCCATCTGCAGCACTGTGTCCAGGCCTGGGGCCCAAGCACAAGAGGGATGTAGAGATGCTGGAGGGGGTTCAGGGGAGACCACAAAGATGCTCAGAGAGTTGGAGGACCTCTGCTGTGAAGACAGGTGGAGGGAGCTGGGCTTGGTTAGCTTGGAGAAGAGAAGGGTTTGGAGAGACCTTATTGTGGCCTTCCAGAACATAAAGGAGCTTCTAAACAGGAGAGAGACTGGCTTTTTACACAGTCTAATAGTGGTAGGACAAGGGAGAATGGCTTTAAACAAAAAGAGGAGAAATTTAGATTACATAGGGGAAAATTTTTCATTGAGAGGAGTATGAAGCCCTGGAACAGGCTGCCCACAGAGATGCCCATCCATGGAGATGCTCAAGACCTCCAACCTTGAGCAGCCTGAGCTGGTGGGGGGCAATTAGCCCATAGCAGGGATTGGAACTAGATGATCTTTAAGGTCCTTTTCAACCATTCTATGAGTCTATGCCTTCTTCCATCCAGCACTGAACCTTGGTGTAAGAACAACCACAGAGACTCAGACGAAATGCCTCATCTAACTCCACCGCCTTTATCCTGACAGCGGCCCAGAGAAAGTCAGGCAAGACACTTCCCAGAATACTTTCCTAGCTTCCAAGAATCCAAGTTCAAAGACTTCTGAGATAGAAATTCAGTCTTCATATTCTTATAATGCTTATAATGGATTTATTTTACAAATATTTCTCCAGTCACCGTGCAATCCATGCAATCTTATGGTATCTGTAAGGTCTCACAGCAAAGACTGCCACAGCTTCACTGCACTCAGGATGAGAAATGACAAAAGAGCTTCTTTCCTTGAGCTTTATTTATTGAATCTTCTTCCATTTGCTGGAAGAACGGGGGCTTATTTATCAGCTTTGTATGCATCCCTGAGGTTGTGAAAACCATTCCAATGCATGTGGTTATTGATGTGGCTCTTCAGACTGACTTTTCCTTGCATCCACCTCCCCCATATTCTAGCATTAGCACCACTGATGGGTGAAGGTCTGTCTGCATTGCCCATAGCCTTGTGGCACTGGTCTTGTGCTGGATTGCTCCATTACCCCATCTGGTTAAATGCAGGTGCCTGTGACAGCGTGTGGACTCCATCCAGTTCTGTGCATGACATCAGTCTGATGTCTACACCAATTTATGAAAAGCAGTGGAATCTGAGGTGAAGGTCTGGCCAGGACTGCAGAGAGCAGATCAGCTGAAGCCTCTGGCTGAGGGTGGAAGAAGGATGTATCCCTACAATGGAGGATTTGGGACAGAAGGGTAAGAATTAATTAATTTGGAAGCAGCTGCCATGAAATCCTACTCAGAGATGTCTCCTACTGAGAATCAAAAGATGCAGGATTCCCTAGGCAGTGGTTGCCCTTCAGGGGTCTCACTGAGCCCCTGTTCCTTCATACAGGAAGGGAAGGTACATTCCCTGTGTGGTGCAGCTGAGTTGGCAAGCTCCGCACTTGGGAAGGAAACATCCTCTTTATTGCCAATTCTGAATATGTCTGGTGTGGCCCCTTTTTTTCAAAGGAATATTTGGGCAAAATCTTTGATTTCCCCAAAGCAAACATCACTACTGCAGAACATCCCTCAATTTTAAGCTTTTGAGTAGCTTTCTATGGGCTAATTTTCCTTAATAACAAGCTGGCAGTGTCTCCTGTGGCAGATCCTGGGACTGATCCACAAACAGCCTTCCTGGGCTTTAGGGAGACAGCAGCATTGATCTGGGGACATGGTAACTCACAGATTTCCTTGCCTGCATGCTCCCCCTTGTACATACAGCTGTGCAAGTGGGTGAGGCTGCAATTTCACTTCCTAATAATATTTCCTCAGCTCCTGTGTAGCACTTTACAAAAAAAAAAAAAAAGAGAGCATTATTTCAACTTTACAGTGAAACAAACTAAATCCAAAAGAAGTCATTCAGGAACTGGAAACGTAAACCAAACACTTAGGAATCTAGTTTAGTGGCTGTGCCTCTTAAGTGGTTTTTGTTTTGTTTTGTTTTGTTTCCCATCAGCATTAGGGAATTTGGACCATTTTTTTGATTTGCCCTTTTTACTCTCCCTTTCCATATCAGCAGCAATTAAATTCCTCCATTTTGGAGGACTGAAAAGTAGCCTGACAAGCTGCAAATGCAGCTGGGGTGAGGAACAACTGAACCAAGCTGCTGCCCACAGCTGCAAACAGAAAGATGTTATGGTCAAATAATTACAGCTACTTCTTGCTCCCTCACTTTGGTGAGTGAAGCTGATGCTGACTGTACTTCAGCTGTGCATCCTGACTGTCTTTGAACCTCTTCATGGTTTAGAAACTGCCTTAATTTTCAACAGAAATCAGCAAACAGACAAAAGGCTGTGTGAGCAATGTGTGTATCCAATGCACTCACCAACAAGACTACTACAGAATTCTTCCAGCTGTGCTACAGATGCTATTCCTGCCTCTCAGTGATCTAAACCAGCCCACTAGCACTTCTAACTTGCACTGTGAAGGGGACCAGGAAGAGATCAGCCTTCTCTAGGATGTCCTCTGTGTTGTCAATGGAGCACAGAGAAGATTTGTACCCTGCTGTAAATGTGGCTGGCTGACAGCTGATAGTGATCAGGATTCCTGCAGCTGAATGTTGAGTCACACTCAAGCCAGCAGCTCCATGGACAAGGCGAAAGGCCAACCTGGCCACAACTGTTGCTTGTCAATGGATTACTGATCCACAGTCAGGTGGGTATGGGCAGCAGCTCAGTTACTTTCACAGTGCTTACAGAAAGAACAGTGCTACAGGTTGAAGTGGGAGGGGGCATAGTTTGTGACATGCTTCTGGAGCACTAATGAAAGTAGCTGGCCTAATTAATTCCTGTGCACAGAAGCAGAGATTGGCAGCTCTGTCATCCATGCAGTCAGCCATGGGAAGGAGCCCAGCCCTGCCAGATTACACTGAATCCAGTATGAAAGGAAACATATTAGCAAGTTGCGTGTGAAGTATTGACATCTTTTGTTCTTCTGTTTGCATCTTACAAGGAGATCTGGAGTGGACTCACAGGAGCAGATAACTCAACCAAATTTGCACCATGGTAAAAATCTTTTGCTGTGAGCCTTGAAGCTCTTTTTCTGCAATTATCCCATAGCAATGTCTGCTGAACAGTCATTTAGCATGGATAGGGGCCTAGGTGTGATTCCCTCAATCTGATTACTCCTATTGCAAAAAACCCTCATATTTGCATAAACATAGAATCATAGGATGGCCTGGGTTGAAAAGGACCACAATGTCCATCTAGTTCCAATCCCCTGCTATGTGCAGTGTTGCCAACCAGCAGACCAGGCTGCCCAGAGCCCCATCCAGCCTGGCCTTGAATGCCTGCAGGGATGGGGCATCCACAGCCTCCTTGGGCAACCTGTGCCAGTGCCTCACCACCCTCTGTGGGAAAAACTTCCTCCTCATATCTAACCTAAACCTCCTTAGTTTAAAACCATTCCCCCATGCCCTATTACTACCCAAACACGATGCCTTCTAATTAGAGATCTTATTCTCTTATGCTGGAAGGGGCAGAGTAAAGCAAAGGTTGCAGCTGCAGCAGCAGAACCCAGCTCAGCCTAATGCCGAGAACACGTGGAGCATTTTCCCGGCAGAATTGCAATGTGAAAGAATTTTCCAGGGCTACTCCAGGTCAGGTTTTCTTATTGGCAGCCAGCCTTGTGCTCCAGTGGTTGTGTGGATGGCTCCACCTGGTGGATCTTAGCTCCAGAGAAGTTCCTTTCTCTGTGGCAGTGTGCACTCTGCTTTTCTGAGTTTTTCTTTCGCTGTGCAGCTGAAGACTACAAGCTCTTGCACAGCACCGATTAGGAACTAATGGAAGAAGCCCATGAGTTGAAATGGTAGCACAGGGGTTGAGTCCCAGTTTTCCTGCCCTGTCTGGGATTTTCAGCACTTGCCTGCTGTGGCTCCTCAAATGAGAGCCCTGGGCATATGATAAATGGGTTTGTAATAGAAAGAGCATTGTGGAACAGCTATGGCAGATAATGCTGAGCTTCACATTTGAGACGTATTTCTGGGTTTGTTATTTCTGCACTAAGGCTTGTCTAACTGAGTCCGTCAGGCAAAAGTAGTCAAACTTCTCTAAAATGATTTGTCTCTGTAGCTTTGGGACTCCTGTAACAGTCATACACTGAAGGGGAGAATTTTCACTCTCATTTTCATGCACAATTGCAAAAATGTCATACAACTTGTATGGGAACTGCTGAGTCACGCCTGAACCTCTGATTGATCACCTGAAGCAAGCCATGAGCCAGCCAGAGGAGCACAGGTGAAGGCAATTCAGCTGTGCTGCTGGAAGGCCTATTTAAGAGTGGGGAAGGATCTCTTTTGGAGATCTGCTCTGCTGCAGTTTTGTAAATGAGCCCAGGATAGGGGTAAGCTTTCTATCTGTTCTCTTTTTGTTATCATAATCTGCTTTGCCAGATTCTCTTGTTTATTTTGTAGTGATAGCATCTTAATATTCATTGACTATATTCAACTTAAGCTGTTTGGGGAGCGGCATAACCGCAAGCTGAGCACAACTGCCCTTCGTCTCCCTCTGTGGATGCATCATGCTGTCAGTCCTGTGCTGCAGTCAAGACATTTTCCTTCTGCTTTCAGGCTGGTGCTCCACTGCCTCTCACCTTGATACGTCTTCAGCCAAGTACAGAAGTATAGAAAAGAGAGAGCAGCAAATCTGAGCATGCTGTGGTATGACCCTGCATGATCACTGTGGCTTGTTTCCTCTGGAAAGGAAACTGCTATCTCGCACGTAGAAGGGAGTGATTTGTTTACTTTTCTTCTTAATATTTGTTTTTCCTGTGCTTGCTGTCTGGTTCCTCTGGGGTGCACTGCAGGCTGATCAGTCTGCCTCTGACATCCAGAGGCTTTGGGCACTTTATAAGTAAAGGCTGTTAATGTTAGTTGTCGTTATTATTAAGGCGAAATTGTGAATCATAATTTGTAAGGCTCATCTCTGGAAATCAGCACCAGCCCGCTCTGTACTGTTACAGTGGGCTAGATGAGAAGGAAGGAGAATGATTTGCAAATAAAAGCTGGAAGGTTTCTCATGCCAATGATGTAAGCGTGGCTTACATTAATGGTAGCTCAGCTACCATTGCAACTCACACCAACAGCAGCGTCAGAAGGACCTCTGGCTGCAGTCCTGCAAATGGCCTGCACTTGCTCAGCTCAGAAAAGGGGAAGAGATTGCATATTAGCCTTGTGACCTTTGCTCTTTTTCACTCCTCTGCTCTGCTCACTTGTCTGCAGGCTGTACTGAAGGATTCTGCACTGCTGAGGGACAGCTGAGGTCCGTGAAGCTGCCTCTGGGTTGGCCTTCAGCTTGCTTGTGCATCCAGACACGGTGAACTGGAGCTTTGGCATAGGTAAAGAACTGATCCAGGAATCCCCTTGTATAGCAGTGTGGGGGACAGAGTTTGGGATGGGATAGATCACAATGATGGTAGTGAACTGGGAACTGAGGATGTGCTAGGTAGGTAGCTGGCACTGAGGCAATGTGGCCAAAACCCTGCGAGGTCACTCACGTGGATAATGATGGGACCAAGGGAGAATGGTTTTAAAGTGAGACAGAGGAGGTTTAGGTTGGATATTAGGAGGAAGTTTTTCCCCCAGAGGGTGGTGAGGCACTGGCACAGGTTGCCCAAGGAGGCTGTGGATGCCCCATGCCTGCAGGCATTCAAGGCCAGCCTGGATGTGGCTGTGGGCAGCCTGGTCTGCTGGTTGGTGACCCTGCACACAGCAGGGGGTTGGAACTGGATGAGCATCGTGGTCCTTTTCAACCCAGACCATTCTACGATTCTGTGACTTCAGCAAGGAGCCATTATGGAGAAGCAGCTTCATGTTAGAGCCTGGCTTAGTGCTAGACTTTAGAAAGAGATCCAAAACAGACTGTGTAAATGTGGAACTGTGTTTTCATACCTGTTTATTACACTTGCAATGTGTCAAACAGCATGCTGGTTTGTGGAGAACAGGCAGAAAATGGCCAGTAATTCTCACCAAAATACTTACTTTCAATTACAGTTCAAATTAGATATACAATAATGTTACAGGACAAGGGGAAATGCTTTTAATACTTTTAGATTTAGACTAGATATTAGGAAGAAATTCTTTACTATGAGGGTGGTGAGACAGTGAACAGGTTCCCAATGAGTCTGTGGATGTCCCCTCTCAGAAGAATTCAAGGCCAGGCTGGATGGGGCTGTGAGCAGCCTGGTCTAGAGGGAGGTGTCCCTGCCTCTAGCAGGGAGTTGGAACTACATGATCTTAAAGGTCCCTTCTGACCTGAACTGTTCTATGAATATTGACCTCTTTATGCTGTTCATGTGTACAATTGTCTTTTTTTCCTTCTTCAAAGTGAATTAAGAAGAAAGGAGGTTTTGAGAGAGGACAACACACTTGTTTTTTCTGCTGCCTGCAGGTGGGTTATCATAGTGATCTAAGTATTTTAAAGTGATAAATAACTGTAAAAATAAGCTGTCGAGGTCCCAGGCACTAGAATCAATTGCACAGAGAAGCACAGGACTTGCTGGCTGCACTGAGGATCTCATAGAATCTCAACATGAATTTTTTAGCATACTGGGGCAGTGTCCTCTTTTGCAGTCAGGATTTTGAGAAAGATCTTGTAAGCAGAAACACCAGCTGTGAGCAGAGTATTTCCCGTTTACCAGACAGATGAAGCAGGTCTCTGCAGCTAAGCTGCCATCACTGTACAAGAAGGGCTGCTATATAAAAGTCACTTTTGTATTATATTATATAAAACAGTCTCTTTTCTGCAGAACCAGCACTTGATCTCATGAGTTAGACGACTTTTGAAAGGTGCCTGGAAGTCCCTTGCAGAAGTTGCTGCTCCCAGGAATGTGCTGACATAATGGCTCCTACAGAAGCGTGAAGCTGAATCAGGTCCTCACCCTGCTCTGTGCAGAATTATGTCCCAGTGAGGAGGGATCAGAAAGAGGCTTCCTGAAATACTGCCCTTGCACTAGAGGTAAGAAAAGCTCTGCAAGTGATTCATGCAAAGTTTGCTCTCACAGTAGTCATCTATGTGCAAGCTAGGTAGGCTCAGGGCAAGAAATGGGATGATGGGAAAGCTATGTGAAAATGCTCTTTGTAAATACAGCTTATGGTGTTGATGGGTGCTGTGGTAACAAATCCCTAAATCAGGCACTGTACCTGACCGGCCTTGTGTTTTAGGGCTGTGTTTGAACTGTTAGGTGGGATTGCCTTTGATGTGTGCCCCTGAAGTATGGCAGAAGGATTTTCTCATTGAGAGCTTTGTATGGATCTCTGTGTTTGGTGAGAAAAGGGACAGTCTTGCAGTGGGGGAAATAAGAGAATCCAGGCATCAGGGCTTGCCCAAGTTCACTAGAAAGTCTGGGACAGAGCAGGAACTGAACCAGCAGAGTGAATCCCAAGACTGGATATTCTTTCTGCTGCACACCGCATAGGAACCAGAGTGGGATTCAGTGAAATGTGGGATTCAGGGTGCCTACACATGAAATGGGGCCTGAACTCTCAGCATAGCAACAGATACCTACTCCATATGGTCAGGAAACCCTGCAGCTAGCATCTGTGTTGGCTAAGCTGTTCTCCATGTGATTTACCTACCCACATCTAAGCATACAACACTTCTAGATGCCCTCTGTCCTTCACACACAGCCACGATAAATCTTTTCCTTACCAATACACAAAAATCTTTGCTTTCCAGGCACAAACCCTCAGTTTTGTCCAATTCATCCTTCTCAGCTGTTAGTCACCTCTCAACCATATTTTTTTTCTTAGCCCTGTGATCTGAATGTTAGGTCTTTCTCATCTGGGTCTGGACTGGAGGGTGAGAGCTGAGAAGTTTGAGTACCTGTGGTGAGATTGAACCTGCTGTGCCTGGAGTTGTTTCTGCTCTCTGCCCTGAGAGATGGATGGGATGATAGCTCTGCCTGATAAGAGCACAGGCTATCATCAGTGATTTTCAGGTTAATATAAGTGCATGGGTATAGTGCTTGTGTTACATGTACCTCCCATGCTCATGTAACCAAAGGGAAGTTTGCAGTAATAATAATAATTCCAAACCTTCTCCTATCATTTTTTTTTTTTTTTAAATCTGTCACAATTGAGACAACTTTCAAACATAAATTCTGTTAATAATGCTCCAATTTGCTCACCCAGAGGCTGGGAAGGAGGAGAACCCAGAAATAAAACATAAAAAATGTGTTCTGGCCACTGAAGCCAGTGTTGGCACATCTTTTCATGGATCACTCTGGACTGGGGAAGTCATCTAATCAAGAACAGGCTAGCATGGACAAAAGCTGCCTCAGCTTCCAGGCTGCTCCACCCAGGCTGGAGGCATCTTCCTGTGTTCTGGTGAGTCACAGCCCTCCCTGCCAGCTGCAGCACCAGTTTCCAGTATGCCACTCAGCAGCCAAAGCCTCACTTAATAGCTGGGCTGCTCCCTTGGTCTTGGCCCCAAAAGCTTCTTTCCAGGAAGGTGTATGCAGGCTGACAGTGCCCAGTTCAGAAGCATGGGTGGGAGTGCAGTGCTAGGTTTCTTTTCTTGACTGCCGTAATCTCTGCTGATGCGATGGAGATACCATCAGCACCAAACTGAGTTGTGAAAATGGGCTGAGGAGGTGAATCTGCAAGTCTTCCTCACCAGACTGAGGAGTGCAGATTGAAGAAGACACGATACTATTACAAGCTTTACATTGGAAGATTTTGTCTGTTGGATACAAGAAGCCACTGGTATTCAGGAAACTTTTCACTCACTGGAGTGACTGGAGCTACAAAGAAAGCCATCCTACATGCAATTAAATGAACCATTGTTATTAAAGTAACTTTTTTGAACTTCTTGGAGGGAGGCTCTGAAATGGCTTTGGCAGCAGAGACCTGGGGTGTTGTTACCCTTGCTGTGACACACACCCATGCTGTGAGCAGTGGTGGGCTCATAGAATAACACAGTGTGATCAGCGCTCATCCAGCATCCTTTAGAAAGCAGGGCTGGTAGGTCTGTGCAGGAATGGTTTTCCAAGTAACAGCAACAAAACCCAGCACGTGGCACAAGAGACTTTCAGAAGATCAGCAGCACTGTTCTTCATATGCTAGCTAAAATCCATGGTGGGGAATGTTTACTTTAGAACATTTATTGTGCAGATTCAGATGCCTTGCATGCCCTGTGCTCCATAGCAAGGAATTGCCCAGCAGGTGCTGCATGTCAGTATTGATGATCCAGCTCCTCTAGCTTGAGTGCCTTGTGTGTGTGACGCATGTTGGCTGTCCAGAAGAAAGGTGCAGCACTGCTGAGGTGCACAAACATGTGTGTGCCAGATGTGTAGAGTGAGTCACTAGGGCCATTTTGAATAGTTCATAATGCTTGGCTTTTGATGGCACCTATCAGCTGTGGTTCCAGAGGTGACTTCATGCTGTCGTGAGGCCAGCCTGAGCACTGTCAAGGCAAGCCTCTTACTCAAAGCTAACAGTGATTAAGAGCTGGGAGTCAGCAATCAAGGCATTGCTCTGACAGGCAGGCAGCCTTGCCTTCCTTGAATGGGAGATTTGGAGTCAGATTCAAGGGAGATTGTAGGTCCTGTTCTTCACATGAAGGAGATCTGGAAGATCTTGCACTGTAAAGTTGCTCCCTGGGTACCTTACCTTTATTCATACAGGCATGAACATTAGAAGCTTTGCTGGAAGCAGAATTTGGCACTCTATTTGGGAAGCACAGACTGATCCTTGTGTCCTTCTGTCTCTTCCTTTCATTTTGTGTCACGTTCGTATGTCATTGGAGAGCTGTTTCTTTAACCTGCTGGGATCTCCAGCTAGCGTAAGGAAGACATCGGTTTGATGGAGGAGAACAGATAGAGAATGGTGGAGACTATCACAGAACTTAAACTGAGTTCACTTGCCAAATAAAAAGGAAGCCAATGCATTTTCCATATTTGGTTCTTTCACCACATGCCCACAGAGGGTTTGTATGTGCCTTTGAAGAAGAGAGTGTTTGTCATCCACGCCAAGCAGGGACACTGAAGCAAGCTCTCTACAACTCACTGAAACCAAGGAAAAGGCCAGATGCTGCCGGTGCCCTGAGCAGAGAACATCTCAGCTATGATTTAATTTGTGGGGTCAGGCCCTAAGGAAATGCCATCTGCCTGATGGAAAAGCCTTCTGCCATCTGAGGGTGGCAAGCTCCCTGTTTTGAGGGGTGGCTGAGATTTTGGAAACATTGTTTTGAGGCTTTGTTGTTGCAGTGAAGAGAGAGAACAGCACTGACCCTGTTTCGTGATGTGCCTGCAAACTTCCTGCTGCCAGCTCTGTGCTTTCTCACTGCAGTCACCTTTCCTAGGAATGCACAAGGATCTCACATCCTGTTTGCTATTGCTGCTACACCCCTTCCAAGATAGGTTTGGATTGCCCTACAGCTGGAAAGCTGATGTTGGGTTTAAGCCACCCTGCTTCCCATGCAAGGACTTCTCCACTTGAGGCAGGGGTGGATGTGGGGAGAAGCTTCACCAAGGGCCAGCCCAGCCCATCTTACTGTTTTCTTTGTTTGTTCTCAAGGTGGATTACAATGTTCTCAGCAATGAAGGCACCTGGTTATACAGTGCTGGTATTAGCAACCACCCAAAGGACAACAGAAAGTTTAACGTGATTAAAGAAGGTCCGGATGATGATGGCACTGTAAGTTTTCTTTGTGTGTCTTACAGTGAACAGTGCAGCAAAGCAGAGAATTTCAGGGACCGGAGATCAATCTGCTGTGCGGACACTGCTGTCAAAACAGCTCTTTAATCACTTTGCCAGCAGTCAGGCTGGTTTCTCATCGTTGTGTATGAAGATCTGATGTTCACAGTCTGCTGCAGTCCCCAAGGAGGTTGGTGCTGTGCGCACCCTCCCTGCAGTTGGTCTGTGTGTTCTGTTTCATCAGTATTTCTTCCTGTTAACAGCCACATCCCATCACTATCATACACTCATTTCCTTGAGCACAGAGCAGCTTCTTGAAGAACTCAGAAGTGACCAAAGAGACCAAAAGTAGTGCTCACCTCAGGATGTGCTTGATTAAACTTCTCTGTGACTTCTCTGACTCTCTGCAAGTGGTGGGGGCTCATAAATACCCTCTCTATCTGCTTAGCCATTGTTCCCATACTGGGCTACATGTTTGCACCCTGTCCCCCTGCTTGCCAGCTTTGTCTTTATATATAGTTAATGGGAGAGATTCTTGGGGAAGCAAGGTTTATCCAGCCAAATGCAGAGGTGTGCAGCTAAGCTAGTCATCCTAGTTTCCATCAGTCACTGGAAATAAAAGTAGGCTTCATCTTGCCTAGTCCTAAGCAAGGCAAGTGAACTGTACCCAAAAAGCACCTCTGTTTTCATCCACTGTCTGCAGTGTGAGCTTGGGAGGGAAGCCTCAGCCTTTGTGTCTCTGCATTCAGACACTAATTCTGGGTAGAGGGTTTAACAGAAGGGGTTGATAATTGACAGAGGTAAGTGAGGCTGTAATGCACCAGGTTCTTTACCTGAAAATTGAGCTGGTTTCTTTGCTGTTAAGGAAGATCCTTGCTGGGAAGAACATACAGAGCACTGCTGAATGGATCCTATCACTTTGGTTCTTTTTGCAGGGCGATTGCATCCAGCTGAGGGTTCCAGAACCACAGGGCATAAAAGGAGCAGATATCCACAGCCCTTGGGCACTGAACAGTGCCACTCTCTCCCAAGTGGGAGAGTAGCCAGCTGTGACATCCCCTGAGTGCAGCAGACACATCAGCCAGAGGCCTGTGAACACTTAGAACATTAGGAGGGGTTGGAAACCAACAAGGCCTGGACTCCCATGACTATGTCCAACCACAGCTTGAGGGTATCATTGTGCTAAAAGACTGGTTGTATGTAACACCAGGTATAGCAGCTGCTTGGAAATGATAGATATTTAAATGCTGCTTTCTCCCATCAGCCCTATCGAGTCAGCAGGGCAGAGAGAGCTTGTCCTTCACAGCAGCCTTCCCTGCCAGCCCTGGTACCCCACAGCATGCATGGGTGATCTCTGAAAGCCTCTGGTGGGCTAAACACTACCTGATTCAGAGGGACAGAAGGAAGCCAGGGCTGGTGCTCAGTTCCCAGTCTGTGCATGAGGTAGAAGTAAAACCAGCTGACTTCCTATCATGCTTGAGTGCATCCACACTGGAGGTACCAAGTAAACGCAGGGACTGGTCCTTGGATTTTGCTTTTTGGGTGTATCTGCCTTTTAGAATGGGGACAGATGAAGATCTGGATCCTGTGACACATCAAGCACGTGTCAGACTTACATCTGACTGGGCTGCTTTTCTTGGGGATGGGTAAGGAAAGAAAGTGCTCTGTAAGTACAGGAGGAAGAGAAGGAAGTGAATGTAATCACTGGTTGCATATGCAAGGGTGGGTTGGTTGGTTTGGTTTTTTTTTTTGCCTTCCTTATGCATCCTCCTGAATAAAGGTACTTTCTGGAGGCTCAAATTTAGTTGTTAGGCAATATTCAGTGAAGAATGAAACATCTCCATTTCAGGTTTTAATTCCAAGGTGTGGTACCAAAGTTCTTAGTCTTCCTTTGACACGAGTGGAAAGTTTTGCTGAAGAAGGCTTCTGCTTTCAGTCATGCTATTGAGGGGCCTGGATTACAGCTACTTTGTTTAAGAATGCATCACAGAATTGTAGGGGCTGGAAGGAACTTCTAAAGATTATCTGATCATTTGAGGCAGTGATGGAACTTAAATCCCAGAAGTTCCTCCTTTAATCAGGAGTCGCACCTTTCATTGCCACACTGTGGAAGAACCTCCCCACTTAATCCCCCAGGACTGAGCGTGGGTTGGAAATACAAGCCCACATCTTACTGGAAAACCAGGTTTCCCAAGTCCAAGAGAAGTACTGGGCCTGTCAGGTCTCCCCTTCTTTTTGCTTCTCATCTGGGGGGGGTAGATGAGCCACATGCACATCTTTTTCTTTAATACTGCATGCCAAGGCTATTTGCGTCCAGCTTTGTGACCAGACCTTTACTCTTCAGCATCAGGAAATATCTCACTGTTCCTCTTTCATTTGCAGCAGGGAAGAAGTCCTCACCCCAAGGGCAGGAGAAGACCTGCACACACAGCAGTGCAGCACAAGGAAAGAGAGATAGATTATTTTTCTCTCAAGAAAGATATGTGATGAAGGCCAGAGAAGAGCCCAATGGGAGCATCTGCCATTGGAGATGCAAATGTAAGAGCCAGTCTATGTGAAGTTTGGCAACACTAAAGTAGGGATCTGCCTCTTTCAGTGTTCCTGTGGACACAAGTGCAAGCAGATATTTGGAGGTTGTGTATGAGCACTGATTGGATCCTGCATTTTCACTTTGGTGCTGAAGCTGTTGCTATGAGTTCTTAGGCTGCCTGAGCACAGCCTCAGAAGTGCTATTGGTCTGAAAGCTTCTACGACTGGAGTATTTTATCTTCCTCATTTTCACCGACACAACAGAGATCCAGAAGTACAGTGAGACTTCAGAGGGCACTGTGTTGTCTGTAGTACTTTGAAGAAACAATACGCTTTTTGAAACTGGTCTAGAGTCTGGGCTGCTTTTGGTACCAGCACGGAAGCAAGAAACTCTTCAACTCAGCACCAGTGACCAGTTTAAAACAGTCATGCAGCCACTTCAAGCATTTTGATTTCCTGCAGAATTGAAGAGTCAGAGAACAGGGAGACAGCTGTGCTGTCATGGAGCATAGGTGGAGAGCCCATATCTGAACTCCTCAGCCACAGAGGCAGACTCCTCTCATTGGAAGGGGCTTGGTGCTGGAAATTAACTACCACTAGAAGATCCATTTGGACCTCCTTAGCAAAGAACAGCACCAAAGTGCTGCTACATCTATGAACACTTGAAGTAGGTAGATAGATTCAGAACTGCATTGAAAAAAGAACCAACAGATGGTTGGACTGGATGATCCTGTAAGTCTTTTCTAACCTTGGTGATTTTATGGTTTTTATGAGAAGAAAACAAGCAATGTGATGTGATCATTACTCCAGGGAGACCTTGCAGCATGTTTCCAGTACCTAAAGAGACTACGTGAAAGTAATAGGACCACAGGTAACAGCTTTAAACTAAAAGAAGGTAGGTTGATTGGATGTTAGGAGGAAACTCTTCACTAAAGGACAGTGAGGCCCCGGCACTGCTGCCCAGAGAGCTGTGTGTGCCCCATCCCTGGAGGTCATAGAATCACAAGGTTGGAAACGACCTGCAAGATCATCCAGTCCAACCATCCTCTCATTACCACTGCTGCCACAAACTAAACCGTATCTCGCAGCTCCTCCTCCAGGCACCTCTTGAACACTGCCAGGGATGGCGACTCCACCACCTCCCTTGGCAGCCATTCCAGCGCCTGACCACCCTCTGAGAGAAAAAGTTTCTCCTCATGTCCAACCTAAAGCTCCTCTGGTACAACTTGTGGCCATTTCCTCGGGTCCTGGTTGTTGCTTGGGAGAAGAGGCCAAACCCCTCCTCATCACAACCTCCCTTCAGGGAGCTGCAGAGCGCAATGACGTTCAACGACGTGCAACGATGCTCAGGGCCAGCCAGGGCCACTGTTGAGGCCGGGCGACATCGAGGCCCCTTCCGACCCACACCCTGCGGCCAGGCGCTCAAGGCGCCGCCCCCAGCGGGAGGCGGGCGGCACCCGGCGAGGAGGCGGAGAGAAGCGGGAAGCGAAAGGGCCGCGCCGGGGGAAGTCGAGGGAGCGGCGCGGCCATGGCTACGGTACCCGTGGGTGCGGGCTCCGCTCCCGGCCCAGAGCCGGCGGATCTGCACGCCGTGCCCATGGTGGCCCTCAACTACGGAGTGCGGCGCCGCCTCGGCCTTTACCTCAATCCGCGGGCGGCGACCGCGGCCGACTGGACGGCGCTGGCGGAGGAGCTGGGCTGCGACTACCTGGAGATCCGGCGGCTGGAGGCGCTGCCCGACCCCACGGCCGCGCTGCTGGACGAGTGGCAGAGCCGCTGTCCCGGCGGAGCCACCGTGGGTCAACTGCTGGAGCTCCTGCGGCAGCTGGGCCGGCACGACGTGCTGCTGGAGCTGGCCGGCAGCGTGGGTGAGCACCGGCAGCGACGGCGCTCGGGCGGTGCTGGTTCGGGGCCTGGAGGGACCGGGGAGAGGCTGCGGGGGGGGGGGGGGGGGGAGAGAGCACCGCTCTGCAGCTCCTGATGGGAGTTGTGGTGAGGTCAGGTCGGCCTGTGCTCCCGGGGAACGGCGAGGCGATGTGCCAGGGGAGGTTCGGGTTGGATATCGGGAAGAATTTCTTCTCGAAAATAGTGGGAACGCACTGGCACGGGCTGCCCAGGGAGGTGATGCGGTCAGCGTCCCTGGAGGCGTTAATGAACAGTGGAGATGTGTGGCTCTGAGGGATGGATGTGGGCGATGTCGGTGATGGGTTGGGGTTGGACTCGGTGATCTTAGTGATCTTTTCCAAGCTTAATGACCTTATGGAGTGCCTGGAACCCCGCTACTGGGATTTCTGCACATCAGAGATGCTCTTGAGAAGGTGGGCCAGGAGGAGGCTCACATTGATGTTCCAGGAAAATCCAGAGATGTTGGTGTGGAGATCCGGAGGTGCCTTGTGAATGTGAATAACAGGAGAGGAATTAATTTCCTTGCACACTGAGATGGAATCAGCACACAACAATAAATGTGGAGATCCCACAGCTGTTCTTGTAAGCTCTTGTTCCTTGTAAGCTCTTTGCATTCTTCGTGGTCACAGGGCTTCACAGTGAAGGCAGCTCTCAGAACTGCAGTAAGAAGGGAACTTCCTTGCCCAGGCGTTTCCAAAACGAGGTGACTCTGAGGCCATGCATTACCTGGGTCTGTGGTGAAGAAACAACCAATCTCATTTCCTGTTACTGTGAGGACTGAAGGTATAGGAGTGCATCTCTGAGCAAGGACCAAAGATATGCCTGAACTCCTGCAGCTCTCCCAAATGAAGAATGCTCTGAAGACTTTTTTTGGGGAAAAAATAGTAAACATTCACGTGTTTTGTGATCCTCATCGAGAGCAGAAGCTGCCAGCTGTGGGAGGGAGCTGGAGCTTCACAATGCGTTGTGCACCCCTGAAGCTGCTTCTGGCCCTGAGTTTGGGACCTGTGGATGAGCTCTTTCAGACCCTGAGCAGAGTGGGAGGAGCTGGAGCTCCAGTCGCAAGTTTAGCCTGGCTGTGGGTCACGCTGATAAGAGGAGGCAGATAAATTCTTGGAAGGAAAATACTCTAAAATACTCTCAGATTCCGGAAATGCCTGAACTGGAAGTGGTCTGAAAGATAGGTTTTAAAAATAGGTGGTAAATAATACCCAAAAGATAAATTATTTGGGAAAAGTATTGCTGCATGCTTATTTGATACTTACAGTCTCCCCTGGTTCTCAACCACTATGTGGGACAGGATGCTAGAGGGACCTGCAGCCTGATCAGTGCGGCCATGTCCTTGTTATTTTTGGCTGAGGATTGTGGGCCTGCAAGCTGTTGCCAGTGCTCCGAGCTCTTGTAGACTTCAGAGATATTCACGCTCGTAAGAGGAAAGAAAAGGAATGGTTGCATAAACTCGGGTGCATGTTATTTCCCACTGCCAAAGGCGTCTTCGTTTACACCATTGGGATTTAGGCTTGGGGATTAAAACATCAGCATTGAGATTTCTGTGGTCTGTGCTTCCATTACAGGAGGTGCAGATCTGGAGCACGTTTCAGTGGCCCCCACAGAGGTATCTTGGAAGGCCTCAAGATGTCTCTGTTGAACGCTACTTGATGATGCTGTGCAGCTCCAAAGGATACTGCTTTCAGTTTATGGTTTTTACTTCAGAACCAGTTCCTTCTTTTTTCATCACATGCTCCATTTCTTGCCGTGTGGCCCTGCTAAATGTTTAGGATGCTAAAAAGTGGTGTCTCCTGTAGCCTTGTGTAGTGTCACAGCCATCAGTACCACAGGGTTACGTTTATAGTACAGCTCCCCTATTACAAACTTTGGAGCATGAGGGCTTGAAAGATGCAACTTTTCAATCCTTGCACATCTGCTTTAAGTCTGATTTTTCTCATCAGCTTATTTTGTTATACAATCATGTTTAGGTATGTAAAACTCTTTGCTTTGGTAAGTTTGTGCTGTTTCCTGCTGAAACAGTGTTTTTTGTTTCTTCCTGACCAATTACAAAAGTGCTGAGTTCCTGCTTGAGGTACAGGGTATGCCTTCTCTCTTCTCATAGGCATGCAGAGTCAGAGAATATCATGGTTTTATTCTTCAGTACTTCAGGCTTTTGCTCAACTGCTCAATATAAGGCCTTCACTGCCTTGTTAGATGCTGAGTGGGACTTCTCAGTGTGGAGGAGCTTCTTGCTTCTCAACTGGCTTCTGCTTTGTGGGCTTTTAGAGTTGTTTTTGCCTCTTGTTTGTTGTTGTTAAGCTGTACGTGGTCAGGCTAGGGACTAATCCATGCCTAGGCACTGGAAGTCTGTCATTCCTTCAGGCTGGATTGTGGGCTCAGGTTTATCCTATAGGAATATGTGAGATGTGGGATTATGGTATGATACCATCAAAAATCTGTGCACGTTGGCTGGTCTGGATGAACTAAACAAGCATTTAACTTAGTGAGTGTGTTTCAGCCTTGAGTGGGGTGGTGAGGAGTCTGGGGACCACGCTAGAAAAACTCATGTCAGGCATTTTGCAACAGGGAGAAGAATGCAGCTGGTTCTTCTCACTGCTGAACAACTGAGAAAGAAGAGGGAAGAGAGGCAGATTGGATTATGCCTCAGGAAAATCTCTGCTCAGACCTGACACCTGGTAATCCAGCTGTGGGGCACGGAGATGTGAGACAGAAGCAGAGATGGGGTTCAGGAGCTGGGCTCCCTGCAGCATTCAGGGTATGGGTAGGGCTGGGTGGCAGGAGTGTTCTCCACCCATGTCTGCACTTCCAGGCTTTGCTCTGCTCTGTGCTGCTGTACCAGCGACCTCTGCAGCTGCTTCAGACTAATTCTGACTGGTTGGTGCTTGTTTGTTTTTGTTTTAGTGTGTTTGAACCTTAAGCAAAGTAGCAGACAGGCAGGAGTTTGAGCATTCTTTTGCCAGTTTGAAATCTCCATTTACTTTCAGTTCCATTTACTTTCAGTTCTTCTGTGATTGTGGATTGCAGAGTAGCAGAGCCTGTGGGATTGCTTTTCAGTTCTCCAAAGACTTTACTGTTAGATTTGTCAGTCATTTTTAAACGAGATCTGTTTGTAATAGCTCAGTGCACATCACTGTCCCACATGGAAAATTCACAGCAACAAATACGGCACCCTCAGTTATTTCACAGTGATGCGTGCATCTGCTCTGCCCGAGCTAAAAGAGGTTTCTGATAGCTGCTCCAGAAGCCTGTTCTGGAGGCATGCTGGAATTTTACTTGTCCCTGCTGGAGGAGATGGTTGATGCAGCATCAAGAGGTTCAAGAAGGTGCTGGGTAGACTCCAGGCTAACAGGTGCACAGATAGGTACCAAAAAACCCAGCAGGGTTTTACCCTCTACTATCACTGATGTGTAAAATAGGGAAATTTCCTGTCGTAAAGGTTGTAAAGGACCCTGTAGCATAGAAGCACACTCACAGCTTGGTGTTGTGTCTTTGCAGAGGAGGACTGCAAGAAGTACTTACGAAGGAAGCGGCAGGAGGCTGAGCAGCCACTGCAGGTCCCAGCAGTAGACAGCAGCGTGCCGAAGACGTCAGAGCTGATGGGCATCACCACGAGGGATGATCCGTATGGTGAGTGCAGTGATGGCAGCACTGTGGCACACCTCATGGAGTGATCATGTTCAGCTGCCCGGCAGATTCCTGTGGGAAGTGCAGAAAATCAGTTCTCTTTCAATGTTGTGACGTCTCATAACACTGACTGGAATGCTGTGGCTGGTAGTCTGCAGGCGTTTTCATTCTTCCCATTGCCTGTTCCTTTGGGCAGAGAGGAGAAGCAAAAGCAACCCTGGGGAAAGCTGCACCCTGGAACAGCCTGGCACAGAGC